GTTGGGCTGTTCAAAACTCACGGGCTCAAGGTTGACTCAGCCTTCCATCCTTCCAAGGTGGGTAAAATGAGGACCCTTGTTGTTGGGGGCGATATGCTGACTCTGTAAACCGCTTAGAGAGGGCTGAAAGCCCTATGAAGCGGTATATAAGTCTAACTGCTATTGCTAACATGGAAAGGAGCTTCCAGTTAATTCACAGTCACCCCTGGGACGGTTGCTGTGTCTTCTGCTAGGGAAGAGTGCGGGCGGGGCTGGGGACCTCTAGGCCGGCACGGAAACAGCCTGGAGCACTGGGGCCCCCGAGGGGAGCTTGGGGGAGGGGGCTGCCTTTCCCGGGGCCTTTGGATCTCACCTTCTCCTCCCCACTTTCTGCCTCCAGGTCACCTTCATCATTGCCGCCACCTACAACTTTGCAGTCCTCAAACTGATGGGAAGAGGCACAAAGTTTTAAGCGTGAGCGAAAGAGAGAGCCGCTACCTTCACCAGATGCTCTTCCTCCTCTTAACCACCAGCCTTTAACTCAACCAGGCAGTCACGCTGCACCTGGCCACCGCCTCCTCCTCCTCCCTTAACACCATCTGACTGCCCTTCCCCCCTTGTGCCAATGAAGCAGGCCGTGTCCTGAGGATGGAGGAGAGTCTCTTCAGCACCTACAGTCCTTCTTCACGCTCTCATCTCCCAGTAGCTCTCTGGGCTCCTCCGGGAACCACCCAACCGATATCTGCTTGCTCCAAAGGAGGCCCAGGTGGGCTGATCAGCCAGCTGAGCCGCCCGGAGACACAGAAGAGCCAGCTCTGCTCGTTCACCAGCTTTCTCTTGCAGTGGCACCAGAGGCGGCAGTGGCAAACACAAGGCCCCCCCTTGGCCAACTCCCCATCTCCTGGGCAAGAGGGCTTGGAGCAAGGATCTTCCCAGGAGGGAAAGAGAGCACTGAGCCACTGCCTTGTGGAGAGGTGACCTTGTCCATAGCCCCAGCCACCCTCCCAAGAGCAGCGAGGAACCTGGGGAAGGGGCCCTTCTCTCCATCCTTTGAGGAGCAGGTAAAGCTAGGCCGATTGGCTCCAGCTTCCTTGGGCCACCCCAGCTGGGCAGAGGTCAGCCTTATCTTAGGAGCACCCATAACCAGAAGCTGCCGCGCCTAATGCTAGGGGCTCCTTCGTTAGAGGAGGAGGGGGTCGTAACCCTGGGCCATGTGCTTTCCCTTTGGCCACGAGGGGTGGGACCCAAAGCCTCCGACCATCACATTGGTGCTCCCCTCTTCCAGTGACTGCTGCTTCTATCCTACACCTTCTTCTTTAGGGATCATCTGCAGAATATAACCCGTATTTTCTTTCCTTATCATTACTTTCCCCCATTTCTGGCAAAACCGTAAACCATCCCAGTTATATGGAGCCTCCTGTCTCGGTTCCTTGGTCCAACTAGAGAGGTAAAAGAAGAGAAAATTAAAAAACACCCTGTACATTCCGGACACGGATTTCCATAAAACAAAAAGAAAATTGATTTGGTCACTGTAGGGAAGGATCATCCCTGAACTTCACACCGTGATATCCAGCGGAAAGAAGGGATGGACTGGAAGGGTCATGGAAGCTCTCCCCGACACACACACACACCCCCGGCCAGGAGCCTGCTTTGCTTCTTGCCCACGAGGGCAAAGCCCTGGCTGGGAGCTCCCTGGCGAACCGGGCTTAGCCAGTCAGTGCTCAACTCCAACCTTAGGGGTCTATGTCAGCAAGCGTAGGGGTGGGGTGGGAGAAGAGATGGCCAGGCAGGGGCCAGTTCCCTAGACGGCTAACAATCAGGGCAGCCCTGCTGAGCAGGCTTGACCCAGGCAGCTGAAACCCATTCGGGATGCACTTGTGAACAGAGCCCACCTGGAAAGCAGCAGCAAATACTGGGGGCAAATGAAGTTGTCTATACCTGATCTTTCACGTGGATTGCAATGCATATAACTGGGACTCGAGCCCTCCGAAATCCCTCAGTATAAACTCTGGGGGAAACCAGCTAATAAGCTAAGTGTGTTTCTTTCTCCTTTCGAAATTCATTTTTAACAAAGCATGACCAGTTTGTTTTTGGAGACTTACCTTGCAAGGTGTATTTTGTAATATTCGAGGAATAAAAGTTACGACTGTTCTGAAGAACTCTCCGCGCTCTTCCTGTCTGGCTGTTTCCCCACCACCGGAGTCTCTCCTTGGCTGCTCTTTTTCCCTCTGCCTTCCGGGGAGGTTGGGGCAGGACTTTGGGGCAGGGCTCAGGCCTCTCGGAGGTGCTTGCATGCCTGGCCCTCCTCGGCATGGCTTTCAGAAGGCCAGCAAGGCGGTACAGGCTGGTGGCCTCTGCAGTCCCCCCCTTTGCAGCTCAGACCAAAAGATCAGGTTTTACTGTCTTGATTGCTCTTCCCAGATTGATAAAAACACAACAGGAGGAGTTCTGGGCTGCAGAAACTGAAGCCAGCCTTGTGACTCCTTTGGGGGTCCTAAAATGGTGGGATATTGGATGCAAGGCATTTTCTGGTTAATGCTGGCATGGAAATACTTGTCAGCATGCTCAGCATCTGTGATGGAGGGTATGGGGCAACCTCCATCTATCTATCATCCATCCATCCATCCATCCATCTATCATCCATCCATCAATCAATCTATCTAATCATCCATCCATCTAATCATCCATCTAACCGTCCGTCCGTCCATCCATCCATCCATCCATCCATCCATCCATCCATCCATCCATCTATCTATCTATCA